TAACCCTAACCCTAACCCTAACCCTAACCCTAACCCTAACCCTAACCCTAACCCTAACCCTAACCCTAACCCTAACCCTAACCCTAACCCTAAGAAAAAACGGAAATGTATAAAAAAACAATCAAGGTCCCTAGTTTAAAAACGTAATGTCCGTATTTCGACGTACTATAGGTCCTATGCTATTACTTACTGGAAGTTTACCGCGGTGTGCACATTATTGTGTATGTAGGGGGCATGACATAATGACTCGTACTTTCGTATTCCCACCGTTACGCCCCATGGCTGAGGGCTATTTCGTCAGGCCGGGTGGACCAGATAACGTCTTTGGGAAAAGCCTCTGAATAAGAATAACAATGTACTGTATGTCAGCTGGGGCTTTCGTACCATCGTTACAAGGTGGTCGAAACTCTACAAACCAGGCTTGGCCTGTTGTGGCTTCAGCACCGGTAGGTAAACCAGCTGAACCCTCTCTACGAGCAAATGTGGCGTGATACGACCAGTGGCTGTTGTATGATGTCATAAAGTTAATTCCCTACTTTAATGAAAGCATGTTTTATAGTATGTGTACGACGCATCGCTGGTAGTGCAGCATGGGTTCCTCTCATGCTCTCAAAAGCCATAAAGCTGTCTTCGTGTCCAGCCTCCAATATCAACGTACACCATTCGCAACGTGTGTTTGCCAGTAGCAAATTGGCTGTGTCAAGCTGCTTTAACAGCACAGACTGGGGTATTCGAACATTCATCTGGCCGCTGCTATACAGTCTGGACGCAGATGGCGCCGAACCAAAGCGGGAAAGCCGATGCCGCCTCGGCTGGCCAATTTGTTCGCGGCTTTTCGCAACTGACGCGCAACGATGGAGCTCTGGTAGGCGGAAAGAACTCCTCCCTCGGCGAGATGATCAGCACTCTTCGGGCTAAAGGGGTCCCCGTACCACCTGGGTTTGCAACAACCTCGTACACATATTGGCACTATGTGGAACGCAACGGCATTAGGGACAAGATTGCCACACTGGTCATGGATTGGCAACAAGGGAGACTCAATCTCGTCGAGACTGGCAACAGGGTGCGCCATCTGTTTTTATGTGGTACGTGGCCCGCTGATGCTGCAAAGGCTGTCAGAGACGCGTACCGCAGGCTCTCAGCCGACGCCGGGATGGACAATCTGAGCGTTGCAGTTCGCTCGAGTGCGACAGCCGAGGATCTTCCAGATGCAAGTTTTGCAGGCCAACAGGAGAGCTTTTTAAATATCTCGGGCGAAGATGAACTCATGGATGCTTGCCGACGGTGCTACGCCTCCCTTTTCACTGACCGAGCCATCAGCTATCGCCAGACGAAGGGGTTCGATCATATGAAAGTTGCGCTCTCTATTGGAGTGCAACGCATGGTTCGATCCGACGTGGGCGGCTCTGGCGTCATGTTCTCTATCGACACTGAAACAGGTTTCGACAAGATCGTGCTCATCAATGCATCATGGGGCCTCGGTGAGAATATCGTACAGGGTACTGTTAACCCTGACGAATACCAAGTCTTTAAACCACTGCTACGACAAGCAGACCTAGTCCCTATACTGGAAAAGCGGTGTGGAGAGAAGGCACTCAAGTTGGTATACGGTAATGCGGGGACACCGACGCGAAACGTGCCCACCTCGAGGGCAGAGCGGGATACATTTGTGTTGAACGACCGGGAAATCCTCCAGTTGGCACACTGGGCTTGCACAATTGAACAGCATTACGGCTTTCCAATGGACATAGAATGGGCCAAAGACGGTGTCATGGATGAGCTATTTATCGTCCAAGCTCGGCCGGAGACAGTACAATCGCGTCGCGCTACAACCATGCTCAAGACGTACAAAGTAAGCAACGCGGGCCGCATTCTTGCCACTGGCCATTCCGTCGGGGACGCCGCCATCTCCGGTCAACTATGTTTAATCGAATCGACCAAGGACTTAAGCAAATTCGTCGACAACTCTATTCTCGTGACCGGAACAACCGACCCGGACTGGGTGCCCGTCATGAAGAGAGCCGCGGCAATCATCACTGACCACGGCGGACGTACCTCGCATGCGGCTATCGTTAGCCGTGAGCTAGGGTTACCGGCCATTGTGGGATGTGGCAATGCCACTTACGTTCTCCACAGCGGGCAGGACGTCACTGTTTCTTGCGCCGAGGGCGATCGCGGCTTCGTGTACGAGGGAATTGCCAATATAGAGACCGAGATTATGGATCTAAGCCAACTGCCGGTAACTCGGACTAATGTCATGATCAATCTTGCCAACCCAGCAGCCGCTTTCCGTTGGTGGCGGCTCCCAGCCGATGGTATCGGCCTTGCCAGGATGGAGTTCGTTGTTACCAACGCAATCCGGGTCCACCCCATGGCACTCGTCCACTTCGACCGACTCAAAGATGTTAAAGAAAAAGAAGAAATTAGTCGCCTGACTGCCGGGTACGAAAAAAAGCCTGATTATTTTATGGACAAGCTGTCGCACGGCTTCGCAGCCCTATGCGCGGCAGTCTATCCTAGGCTAGCTATCATCCATATGAGCGATTTCAAGATAAATGAGTATGCGGGGCTAGTTAGCGGCACCGAGTTCGAGCGAAACGAAGAAAATCCTATAATAGGCTTCTATAGTACGTCGCGTTATTACTCGCCGCGCTATAGGGTATAACGGAGCCTAGGTAGGGTCCTAAGGTTTGCTATTACTTAAGAGGTAAGCTAGGTTTAATGAGTAATAAATAATTTATAAGAGTCTATTAAGAAGCTTTAAAGACTTCTTATTTAGATAAATACTTAAATTAATTACTAAAGATCTAGCTATTTACTCTTAAGTAAAGACTATAATATATATATCTATCTAGCTCTTTATTAATCTTTACTTAATTATTTAGATTACCGTAATCCTTATAAGCTTAGCTTACCTAAATTACTATACTCTTTATAATCCTTAAGTATATATACTTAATTATATAACCCCTCTTAACTTTTCTTAGGGTTTTACTTATTATATATATAATAAAGGTCTTATTAGCTTCCCTTTAGTCTATTTATTAAGCGGCCTACTTTATAGCTATCCTTAATTTATAATATTATTCCCTTCCTTTTATAGCGCTTATCCTTAAAGCCCTTAAATATAGTCGTCGCTATTTCCTTTAATTATAATAAGCCTTATTTCCTTTTTATATATTCTTTAGCTAGCCTATAATATTAATAATATATTTAATTATATAGCGAAACCTTACTCCTAAAAGTCTTATAAATATAATAAGTTTATAGTCTTAATCGAATTAAACGGTATATTATTTAATATATTATATACTTATTATTTTAAGCGAAAGCTTTAATATTAAATAATAAAGGAGTTATTATAATATATTAAATATATTTAGTAAAGATACTCTTATAATAATACCTTAATAATATCTTTTTATATATTTCTATAATAATATTATATCTTAATATTATATATTAATCCCTAATTATAGCAAAGAAATTAATCGCTTAATAATAGAAATTAGATATCGATAAAGAAGAAGTAAGTAATAAAGTTATTTAGCTATAGGTAAAGATAAATACGTTATAGTTATAGCTAGCTAACGTAACGAGCCGCTTAGCTCGGATTTATTAGATTTAAAAGAAGATAAAAGAGCGTAGCTTTAAGTTATTCTATTATAGTATTTAAAAGTTAGATTTAAAGAATAGTATCTTCTTAGCTCTTAAGGTATATAAATATTAAATAGTTAAGGATATCTAGGCGTTAAAGGTTCTTAATAACGTTAATTAAAAAGCTTTAAGTCTTAGTTTTAAGTTTTAAGATATTAATCCTTTATTAAATATTAATAAGTCTTTAAGTATTACTCTTAATAATATTACTATATTAACTAAGGGCACTTCTTTAAATATAACTTAAGTTCTTAAGTATTTTCTATATAATTATAGCCTTCCTATTTAATATAATACTCTATTTTTTATATTATTTTTCGCGAGTTTAATATTTATTCGATATTATCTTCTTATAGTTCTTCGATTTTAATATTTATTTTAAGTATTACTTTCTTTAATGCTAATTCTAATAATAAGATATAAAAAATAGGGTATATCCTTATTCCTTAAGGTAAAGATAGTTTATAGTTAACTTCTAATAGTTTCTTTTAGATCTTAAATAATCTAAGTTTCTTTTAGTTAAGCTTCTCGCTAAATTATTTTATTTTAATATTTCGTCGGAAGAGATATACTTTATCCCTTTCCTTTAGAGTTAATCCTTTTAATCTCTTTTAGTTAATATAATACTTTATTCTATTTTAAAGGAAAATCTATTTTTACTATAAATAAATATATATTTATTAAAGTAATATAGCTATTTTTATTACTTATAATATATTAACTTCTAGCTATTAAACTATAATTATAGGGTTATACCTATAGTTTACTTTAAATAGTATTATTCTAATTGCCTTATTATTTAAGCTATTATAGGCTTATTATACTATAAGTAATAATTCTATTTAATTATCTTATTTATAATTAATATAAGATTATAGATATTATTTAAGTATTTAATTAAGTTATTTTATTTACCTATCTATTTATAGATAAAATATAATTAATAAAGAATACTTAATTCTTAATTATTATATTAAGCTTATTTAAAACTTTAATATAAATAGCTTATTTCTATCTATAATAATCCTCTTTAATAGCCTATATTAATTAATAATAACCTTTAAGAATATAAAAGCGATATCTTTTATTATACTTAATTCTTTATATAATATAAAATAAGTATACTTTATTAGTTTCTCTATAATAACTAAAATACTATTAAAGATAGTATTAATTATAAGTTCTTTAAATAGAGGTAGTTTAACGATAAAGTCTATCGTAATTATATATTATACCTTATTTAATAAGGAGATTAGCTAAAGCTATCTATAAGGTATATATTAATTCGCCTTTACTTTATTATAGATATTATATTCTTTAATGATTCTTTAAGTCGTTTTCCTCGACTTAAAGAAGTCTTAAGTTTATCGTAACTTTATAAAGGTTTTATAAATCCCTTAATATCTATATAATAGGTATTTATAGAATTCTTTAATGAGTTTATCTTATAGTACCTTAAGAATATAATAATAGCTATTAAATAAGATTATATCCTATTCCTTTAAATATATTAAGTTTATTTCTTAATTATTAATAAGTTCGTTATCTTTATAGGCTTATTTAATATACTAAATCTACTCTTAGTTAAGCTTAACTTTCTATATTATATTAACTTATTAACTATTTAATTATAAAGTTCTTTAATTAGTTTTTTATAAGATTATAGCCTTTTATATTTCTATTAATAGTTTAAGGTCTTCTTAATAGCTAAGGGCATTAACTTATCTATTCTTACTACCCTTTTAATAAATAATCTTAAAGTTAAATTCCAATAGGAATTTATATTATCTAACTTATTATTTATTTAGCTCCTTTATTATTATAAAGCTAGTTAAGTTCTTATAGTTAATATAAACCTTAACCGTCTTAATTATATTATTTAAGTAGTATTTCTATTCTTTAAATACTTTAATAATAGCTATAAGCTCTTTATTATAAATCGGGTAACGTAATCCACCACCGAGTGCGCCACACCACCGAGTGAGCCACTTTC